GGGCTCAAATTTATGGTTTGTAATTCAAAGGGAATTAATGGCATAAATCTTTTGCTATGTGCCTTCCGTTTAAAATCGCATCACTTTGGTGCTGTTGTAAGTTGTTGTTCGTATATACCAGCGAATCTGTCTGATAATGATTGGGACGTGTTTCCTTAGTTGAAACAATAAGAAACAGTACACCACGGATTGGTTTGGCTGTCACCGATATCGCTACAGTCAGAGTATACTGTCACACAAGACTTCACTTGCTGCGGGCAGTGACCGTGCTCTTCTTTTTGTTGAATCTGAATCCATCCTCTGTGGAAGTGGAAAGTTCATTTATGTTTTTTCTAGGTAGCAGCATCACCATTTGCTTCTGGGCATCTGGTGGCACCCGTTCTTACCTTTCCTACGAAATCCTGAAGTTTCCATGTGAATCACTTTTTTTTAGAATTTAACATTGTTACAAGAGAGCAAGTCTTCGCTGAGAAGTGAAATTTGTATCTGACGAAGCCTTTCTGGCGAAAGTGTTTAAATCCTTAGATGCGTCATATAGCGAACGCCACGATTCAACGGCTGTTCTGCTATCAGTTATCGCCATCATCATTGATCTTCTGCATACATGTCAGTCTCTGTCAGTAAGTTTCGATGATCGCCTATTTTTTCGGGTTGGTGTTACAGACATGTCTGCCAATGCCCAAAATATTCCCTTTCCTATGCCAGCGTTTGAGTTTCAGTAGAAGATTGCCGGAGTCTCGAGCAGAGTCCTACCGTACTCCTGCCCCAGGTTATCCTTGGCCAACCCCGGTAATCGTTAGTTTGTTGACTGATCACGACTATGAAGGAACCGTCTGCGCTGAGCGTCTGATTGAGCAACTGGCGCACCAACAGGAAGAAACCAGTTGGTCCTGTCGTCTTACAGCGTTAACAGGCACATGCTGAGAAACCTGCAGTTCAGTCCTGCAGACTCGCTGGTCTTTTGACAGACGAACACCGAAGAAGAGACCATCTGTGTGTATTGGTATACTGACCACAAAGTGTATATTTACTTTCTGATTATTACTGAAATAGAGCGTTCCTTTATAAAATCGTAGTCGATTTTCATACTTTCTATTGTAAATGAACATGGGACTTCTAGACATCGACATCACATGAAACTGTAACAACCCGTAATTACCAGTACCACATGTAAATATTTCCTGCAAATCAAAGCGTAATAAATCCTGAAGGAGGAATTGTTGTCCCTCTAATCATCACTTCTTCCTTCCGGGTCTTCTTTCCGTTATTAAGCGTTGTTCAGTTCACCACCATTGAAAAGCCACGTTGAATCATATTCTCATGACTACTCTCATCAACCCATCCAACGTGCTCGCGTGCTTTTTTAATTCTTCGCGAATTTACGTAAAGTACAATGCACGAGTCATTAAAACTGATCAGAGGAAATCCTAATATATGTGTCCTGGATGTCTGAGCAAAACGTTTGTACTCAGAAACTGGCTGTCAATGCCTGATTGGAGTATGGCGAACCATCTAGATTTGTTCTTTAAGTTTTCAGTCTTGTGGAATACCTCAGATCATCATCATCTCTCTCGATGATCGCGGATCCAGGCGTGTCTAGCAGTGTGTCCCCAACTTCCCTGATCTTATATCATCGCTTTAGTGTCACCAGAAGACATACTGAATCTGGAGCAGTCTTCGACACACTTGATCATCTCCGGGTCTTTGGTCGCAACTGCTTCGTCTTCCTTCCTGAAAGCATTCACATGACGTACTCAGACCTTCACGACTGCGACGTCTCAATTTGTAGAAGCAGTTTTCTATGCGTAAACTCTCTGTAATAAAAGTGTGGTCTGACTTTGTCGGTTCAGGATTCGCTGTTGTAACTGTAGCTGCCTTTTTGATGCAGAGTTAAAAGCAGAAGCAACACCGGTAGTAAAATAGAATATTTGCGGTGTGTTGACTCATGATTATGGGTGAAATCATAACAGTGGCTTGGCTTCTCTACATTTCACTGTTCCTTTTCCCATCCTTGCTTCTTTACTCCTTCTCGTGTTTCACGTTTTCCTGTGTTAAAATCCTCTGTGGTTCTCGCTTTGTTGTCGTCAGATTCGAACCATTCTT